GGGTGCAGGTTCGCCAGCAGGCAGGCCAACCTCCTTAAAGGCACAAGGACAAACAAGGGACCCCGCACATCACAACGACAGCTGAGACCCCCAGTGTGTCACTGCACCAAATCAGTCAAGCAAAACAAATGGCAAACGCACTCATTGTAACAAACATCCGACGAATTTCGCCGTTGCATTCCAGCGTGGAACACACTCGGCAACGGCGCCGTGACGTGTGTGTTGGGCGCCGCTGCGTTCCACGCTGGAACGCAGAAGTGCCGGGAGGAACATGTGGCTCCGCCCACCCGCACTTCCTCTTGTCTTAAAAGCCGGCTTTGGGGTCTTGCACGGCGTTCCGTTATTGCGGTGTCAACGCCTGCAACCCCCAACCGAACCTGCTCCCCTGATGCAGTACCAGCCTGGAGGATCCACGCCAGTCCTATTGCCTGAACCTCTGTGACCCACTGGATCTGGACTCCCACTGAGGCAGCCTTGACATTGACCAGCCAGTACCTTCCAGGGACCGGATAAGTACCTTGCTTACTCTACTGTCATTTTGCCTATGCTGGATTGATTACATTGCAATACTTATTACCTGAATGAAACTATAATTTTGCCTATGCTGGATTGATTACATTGCAATACTTATTACCTGAATGAGACTATCATTTTGCCAATGCTGGATTGATGACATTGTAATACTTATTAATTGAATGAGACTATCATTTTGCCTACGCTGGATCTGATTACATTGATGCATTCAATATAAGGATAAGACTTTGTGTTATCAGTGTGCTTGACCTGAACTCCTCAGTGCATTTATATTAATAGTGAACCTTTCACTTAGACCATACGTGGTGATCGCATCCAAATTAACCCAGTGGTGGGTATGAAGCAATACCTTCCCTGCACACCAGTAACAGATTCCATACCTACTTTGGCAGATGATGTCAAGAACTCCTAACTCTCCTTCCTGAGACAGAGAGTGAAGCCTGGAGTTCAGTACTGATTGCCATAATTAGAGATAATACCACAGTCACTCAGCCTTCCGCAGTTGTGGTTCATACAACGCAGACAGTAGGACGTGACACTCATCAACTCATAACCAGCTTTAACCGCACTACAGAGGGGCCTTGACGATCCAGTGCGGCTTTCACATATTCTGCAGAAGACGTTATCTAAATCCTCTGTCTTTAACCTTATCGGTTAGACAGGTTTTTTTTTGCATGCTGGCTGGTGAGTGTGCTGGGAAATGTTTTGCGGTTTTACTGTTTAAAGCCCTTCCATGTGCACCTTGCTTTAAGGCTGGTTATGAGTTGATGAGTGCATTTGCCATTTGTTTTGATGGGGTAAAGATGATCTCACATTCAATCTGGCTTGATCCTGGGGAATACAGAGCAGCTAAAATCACACAAGAAGGCGCTTATGCAATAGACCAGAGTGTCTTCTCATGAGATTTACCTGCTCTGCACTGCCCAGGAAGCAATGCAGAAGAGGGGAGTAAGGTAAGCATAATTCTAAGTTTCTTAATCTTTCATTGAGGGACCCAAGAGCAGAAAAAATCATATACAGCTGGTCATACTGCTGCCTTCAGGAGGTCTGGATGCAAAGCCAGCCTTCCGTAAACCCAGCCTACAACTGCTGTACCTCCTTTTTTTTTTTGCTAGATTCCTAGGAGGTTGGATGCTTTCTTCTCAGGTCTTCTAGATCTCATATTTCTACTTCTGATTTTTGCTCAGTATCTAGCAGGCACTCAGCCCACACCCCTACTACAGTTCTGACCTTGTTGGCCCTTCACCTCTCAAGGTATCTGAGGCACACGATACACAATACTCTTTCCAACTTGTTTGACACAGTCCGCTTTGCCTTGAGCATTAAAGTGACATTAAACTCAGTAGTTACATCTTAAAAATGTATTCAAGTACCTTAACTATTAACAAAAATGTATCTTATTTGTGTATCACTCAGCTGTAGATCCTCAAATTATCTCTTAATTGGTGCTGACACTGTCCTTCCTTCTGGAGGGTGGCTACTTTTGTTCCCCATGGTCCCTGTGTGTGTTGTAAAGTAGACACCACTCCAAGCTCACTTCCGTGATGGAATACAATCTCAATACAAATTGGCAAACTAAATGTGAGATTGTAGTCCATTACCTGAACAAGCGAGTGGTGGCTCCCAAAGATACATTTTTGTTAACAGTTAAGGTACTTGAGTGCATTTTTAAGACCTTTAACTCCTGAGTTTAGTGTCACTTCAAGGATCAAACTGACACACCAGGTACATGATCTTTTCATGTTCCTTTTAACTCTCAGACCTTTCCTTTACTCTCTTATCTAGGAAACATCCTAACCCAAGACTGGAAACTTTCTATTCATTCATGTACTTCCCTGCTTCATGTGGAAAAGCTATTACCTATGGAAATTGACTTTCTGGACACATGGTCCAAACCCTCAATAAACCTACCAGTTCTTGAATTGAATAACACCAGATTGCTTCTGTCAATGATGTCTTTATCTTCAGGGATTATAGACTCCCTCTTTACACCCAGTATCAGCGAACTGGTATTACTTTCTGTCTTCTTCTAGTGGCAACTCTAATTTGTGAAACCATGTCTGACTGGATCACACGTGGCTCTTTCTATTTTGATTAGGACCCTAGAGTTTTGCAGCATCATGCCTGAATATCTGCTCTATAGGTCTCTTAGAAACATCTAAATTGGTGTCTTGCATGACAATAATGTCTGTCCTTCTGTGTAGAGCACTTTGGCTATGTGCTTGGGATGTTGACAATGTTGGTTATTTGTTTAGGTGAAGCAATGAGATCTTGAGGAATGCTGAATTAAGTTTTACTTGCTTATAAGGAAATTACATCAGAATAAAGCATTATGCAAGAAACATACAGATAAAAGAACGTCCTGTGTATCATAGATAAGCATGCATATAGAAATCTAACATTGCACTACAGCGCCATCTACAGCTCAAAAGACATATCACAGTCAGTAATACAATCAGTACATTTCAGAATATACTGTTGCATTTCCAACAGAATATACATTCAAAGAACATGCATATGCACTTGCCATATAAAGGCAGGTGTCTTTTTGGTCATCCTCTTCATAGTGGTATGCCCAAGTCTCCAGCTTCTGACTCGCAGGAACGCAAGAGATCTTTTCATGTGACAGAACTCTCAGTCCTTCTCATCTATTACTGCCATTCCTCGAAGATGATCTGATTCTGCCTCCCTCTCTAATTGCAAAACAGTTAGCCCTTTACACATACTTAATAATAGTACTTACACTTGGTTAGTGTGATTTTTCTGTTATGTTTACAGGGTCTTTTGAAATTTGTTGTTTATAGACACCCTTATGCTGGCCACTTCTACTTTGGCAGTACTCCTACCTCAGAGTTTTTTTCTATTCCAGAATGTTTCCACCTCCTCATTACTCTGGAACCACCTGGGTCTAGCTATTGCTTCTACATGTTAGTGCTTCCATTTCTATTGTGAAATGTTTGCAACAGTGAGGATCTAGGCTTTTCTGTGATCTCTGGGAACAAAACTATCCTCCTGGATTCTCCCTGTTTTGTTTTGTTTTTGTATACCAAGCCCTTTCCATGTACCCCTTTGGGTTTTTGTACCGTATATACTCGAGTATAAGCCGTCCCGAATATAAGCCGAGGTACCTAATTTTACCAAAAAAAACTGGGAAAAAGTATTGACCCGAATATAAGCCGAGGGTGGGAAATGAGGCAGCTACTGGTAGATAGATACCAATAAAATTACATTAATATTTATTTAAAAGAAAAATAACCTAGCTCTGTAAGTGGAAAAGGGGGTACAGGGCTACATATCATGTACTACGGATCATTTAACCCATTCATATTAGCAGAGGATAATTGTAAATCTATTGTTCAGTGCATTCTATATGTAGTATATAGTACATGTACATATAGAGTGCCTGCAACAATACATTTACAATGATCCTCTGCTAACATGAATGGGTTAAATGATCCATAGTACAGGGCTACATACAGATCATTTAATACATTCATGTTAGTATAATTGTAAATGTATTGTCTGCACTGTATTAGCAGTATATACTCTATGTAGAGTATATACTGCTAATACAGTGCAGACAATACATAATTGCTTAATAAATCTCCCCCCAAATCTGCCCTCACTCACTGTGTCCGTCTGCCGGAAAGAGCAGGGACGAGTCAGCGGTGCGCTGGTCCTGTGGGAGGAGCTCCAGGTGGGGTCCTAATTTAGCTGACTTAGAGGTGCCTGCCAAGGCTGTTAATCTTTTGGAATATTATCCTTTTGTTGTCCAAGGCAAGGTTTCACAGGCATATTCCTTTTTTTCCTCTTCGTTAAGTAACTACTTTGCCTGGTTCACCTTTTTCAGGTGTTGTTTTTATTCACCCATTGTATTTTGGTGGACTGTTATTACTCCTTTCTTTTATAATTGTGGGATTATAAGCTTCTCAGGGTGTTCAGTCCTGCTCTGTTGCTCTTGTTTCCACTTTGTTGCATCTCCCAGCTGATGTTCCCAGCCCCTTCAGTTGAACTGCTTAAAAATCTTTTACTTGTCCATTGACGGACACAGGTAGTGCCCTTTAACTCTCATTCTTAAAGGCTAAGTTTACCTTTTAGATCATGTTTCATGTTACACCCATGTTACCTGAATTGTGGAGTTTTATTCCCCACGGGCCCTTTTTTAATGTATTAGAGCTGTGCACAGACGCATTATCCTATGACAGGATCTGTTAATGGAGAAACTAAAAGTTCCATCAGCTACCGCGGCAGAGGGACTTGTTCTCAATGGAATACAAGTGCAGTGACGTCTTTAAGAATGCAGTTTGTGTCATGAGGTCTCTGTTGGTAGCCATCCGATTTTAATGATTTAAGAAGGACAAGTATTAGTATGAAACCACAATTAATAGCAGATTTTCAGTACCATGAGCTCTGCAGTAAATCTTAGTCCACGTTTACTAACATACAAGCTATCATTATTTTTACAGTTATATGATGTCCAATGCTTACAAACCTGCCCCGTTGGACCTGTCTGATGTAAAACTGTTACCAGCCCAGGAAGTTCTTGTTGATAAACTTGCAGAGAATGCACACAATGTCTGGGCTAAAGACAGAATAAAACAAGGATGGACCTATGGCATTCAGCAGGTAAGCTATCATGATGTGCAGCTTCGTGTTTCTAAAACAAATGCTGTGTATATGTCATCACTTTTCTGTGTGAATCCAAAAGCTGATTTATAAAGCTGTAAAGGAATGGTGCAAGGAAAACAGAAGAATCATGGGGGCTGCCATTCTAAGCAACTAATCAGATTCTGTCTTTTGAGAGAGGAAAGAAATCCAATTTGCTGCAGTAGGTATCTTGCCTGCTTTGCTTTAGATTAGTTTACACCAGCCTTTAAAAATTAGCATTAATGGGTTTATTGCTCCTTTCTGAATACTGGACTGAGCCATGAAGATCATTCATCTATGCCCCATTGATCACTTCTGCTTCCCAAACCACAGTTTATCAAACAACGTTGTGTGTAATCCTAAAGGAGAATTTGTCAGTTTCTGGGGGGCCTGACATGTAATAGAGCAAATGAACATTAGTCAAACCTGGTCAGGTTTGCAACTTTTTAACGAATAAAAACCTACATTATAGTCTAGTATTAATGCTATAAACCTTCTAAAGTATACCCTATTTTTCCATGTGTTTACTAAACAAATCTGCAGGCCAGCAAACTAGAAAAACTTTAAACTGTTTTTCAAAAGTGAAAAAAACTAAATTATTAAAATGAATAAAAAAGCAAAAATGGCGAACTGGAACATAAGTGGTAAACTAGAACAAAACCACTTGCTAATGAGATGGGAGTGAGAGAGGCCGAGGCTTGTCTAAAAAAAATGATGAGACTTTATAACATTGTGTTAACTCTGCATTTTATTTTCAAATTCCAATTTGCAACTTTTCCAGTGAGGTGAAAAACAGTTGAAACCTAAGTGCTGTGCTTTTTAAAGAAAATTGGAAGGATGACCCTCAGCTAAAAGTGAATTTGCCCTTTACATTTTCAGTAATTTTCTATTCATGAGTGTAATGTCCACAAATGGCCAACATACTATGTTGTAGATCAGAGGAAAAACAGAAATATGTTTGTACAGAAAAGTAGTACAGCTACTGATTTTGAGATATTGCTTTTTTATACATTGCATTCATAATACTAGTGTCCTGATTTTGAAATAATTGTATATTTGCATGGATAATAGTAAAGTGATGGTTTGAGTATTATAACAAAAAGCATGTGCCGTATTTTAAGTTGCATTTTGCAGTTTGTATGTTATAAATACTGTGTTGTTTTTTTTTTTCTTAGGACCTGAAGAACAAACGAAATCCTCGCTTGGTGCCATATGCTTTACTTGATGAACGGACTAAAAAGTCTAATAGAGACAGCTTGCGTGAAGCTGTGAGAACATTTATTGGCTATGGCTATAATATTGAACCACCAGACCAAGAAATCAGTAAGAATATGTTGTGAACACAGGATAGTGTATGATCCTACAATAATAAAAGAAACAAATTACTGCCCACCACTGATTGACAAGGACTTAGGTTTTGGGACCTGTTCACACATATAGTGGTGACCTGCTTTGTACCACACCAGATGAAACAATTGTATTCTGTGTCCCAATAACACCACAACACAGTGGGTGGTGAACTGAGATAAAATGCAAACAAGCATTTTATCGCAGTGCACTTTATACAGGACCTAAATGGAGTGTACACATTGTACTCCCCACATAAAAAAAAGTAAACTGGGACAGCTCCGGCAGTGTGCGATACAATGCATACTACCGAGCTACAGTAAGGCCCTGTTCACACCTTGGCATTCCAGAATGCACGTCGTGTTTGAATGCATCTATGCATGGTTTGCGCCGTGTGGCAAAGTAGCTCATGCTGACCTTGCATTTGTGCATGTTTAATGTGTGACAACGCACGGGCAAAAATGTGTGTTTTGCTGGCTGTGTTTAGGGTGCCATAGACATGTAATGGTACTGAAAGTGTGTTGCAGGTTTTTAACACATTGCGGTAACGCGAGTCATTGCTCACTTGCGGCACACGTTCACTCAACATGAAGGTGTGAATAGGGACTAAACGTGCCCCCAATAGCAAACATCAGTAAGTTATAACAGCACATAAAGGCCAATATCAGTTAAAATGTAATAAAGTATTTTAACTGATTCGGAAATTCTGATTGTACAAAGAATTATTAAATTCCTTACAATCAATAAAATCTCTTACTTGTTGGATGATACAACAGCCATATTAGCCAGTGAACCTGGAGCCTACAATACAGATAATTGTTCATTGTTGCTGTCATTTCATATGATGGGATATAATGGTATTATCAGCATGTTTGATTGTTATTTATTGGATTCTTCATAGTTGTCTGCTGCCATACCCTTATTAGCCACTCACCCTTCTACATTTACTTATTTTATCTACAAGAGTGATGAACACACACTTTATTAAGATTTGTACTGACTTTCTTTTTCCTGTATATATTTTTGTAGCTGACCAAATGATGGAGCGCATCAGCATTGATAAGATTCGCTTCTTTAGGGTGGAGCAGACATATGCTGTCAAATCTGGGAGTTGGTATTTTGAGTTTGAAGTGGTGACTGGAGGTGATATGCGAGTAGGCTGGGCTCGACCCAACTGCAGGCCGGACATTCAACTCGGAGCAGATGATCGGGCATTTGTATTTGAAGGAAGCAGAGTAAGTAATGTTTTGCTACTTTATTCCCCCATACATTTAAAATGTTTCTAAACATCAACTCGCCCTTTGACTAGCATGCCTATATAATGGATATTAGACAACACTGGATATTCTATGGCCTACAGGCAACAACAAATTTCAACTCCGAAAAATATGATTTTAGGAGTCAAAAGGTTTGGTAGACAAGATTAATTTAGAAGTGTATTAGTAAATAACTTTTTTGTGTTTGACTAAATCTACTCCTTCACATGCAACCAGTAATATAAGTACAGAAGTTGTTGCCACAAACAGGCCATCTTCCTTGGGGGTCCAGAAGCCCTCTTACTGCTTCAGAACTATAGTGTTATTGCATTATCTGAATTTAGCATAAGTAATTGTAGGTTAAATAATCTGTAACTAAGCTTTCAGTGATGCCATCATGCTTTTGTGAATTTACCTGAAAGTGGACCTGAACTCAAAAAGTGAAGATTTGATGTTAAGATTTAGAAATGTTAATGTTGCCTAAGCAGTACCCTGAAAAAATTACCCTTTGTCATAATCACTCCTGAAAAATATCAGTACACTTCCTGGTATGTGAGGGTGCCTAAGCACCCTGTACCCACAGCTTCATGTCTGCATATCTACAGTGTGAGTTCTAAGGCACTGTTGCCTCAGACTTCTAGGGGTCTATTCACTAAAGGGTGAAGAGTTTGGAGAAGGCAGGAGAAGTGAACAATCTAGGTCAAAAAAGCTGATTTAGAGAAATTCTCACTCACTTTCAAGTTCAGCTATTTTGTCCTAGATTGTTCACTTCTCCTGCCTTCTCCAAACTCTTTACCCTTTTGTGAATAGACCCCCTAGAATCAGTATATTTAGAGTGAGTTATGGTAATTTCACTGCAGTGCTGCACACTGTTCTCCTTGCTCTAACATGGGAAAGCAAAACCCTGCTTGAGCTGCAGCAAGACCACAGGCAATACAGCTGAATAGTTATTTTCTCTCTGCCTGTCTTTTGAGCACAACTTCCAGAATATATTTTCTAGTTAAGTGTCGCATCAACTCTCCCACAAACATTAAAACTTCCTTGGATAAAAAGGCACTCATAAAACATCATTATATCTATGACCATCTTCACCATAAAGGATATTGAGCTTATTACATCCATGGCAATCCTTGTTCCAGTTGTGTGAGCACATTCATAACATATAATAATGAATGTATTAATCTTCATAGGGCCAGTGCTGGAACATGGGAAGCTCTTTCTTTGGTCGCAACTGGCAGCCAGGAGATGTGGTGGGATCCATGATTAATATGGATGATAAATCTATGATCTTCACGTTAAATGGAGAACTGCTCATTACTAACCAAGGGTCTGAACTGGCATTTGCTGATTTTGAAATTGAAAATGGTAAGTAATATATTTTACAGAAGTAAACATAACATTTCACTTACCTTTAATAGATATTCAGTACTGAAAACTCGTCAGTACTTTAGCTAACAATCTTCAAAGCTTAGCTCAAGCTACATATCGTTTAATCCATTAATAAAAAGTAATTGAATGTATTTTAAATGCTGTCAGCAGATGTACTTTAAAAGCCATTGGTATAAGTGAGGTCACCCATATAACCGTGCAGTATGGCCAGAATGTTAATCATCAAGGGGCTGTACAGGGTTGCAAATAAAATGTTAGGCAAGTTAGTTTACATTTGTGTATTTCATCTGCTGGCTAGAGTTCAGCTTTACATTTTTAGGACATGTGGGTGATATTGTTGTTTACTTAAATATAGAAGTTAATTATTTATTATTTATTTTTTATAAATGCTTGTGTTTGGTCCTTCACAAATGTCACAACTTAGCAATGCTTTTAGATTAAACATCTCTTGCTTCAATCAATCAGGCCTTTTTTTATCTAGTAAAGGGCACAATTTTCTTCAATGGTTGATGGTGCAGGTGATGCCAAATCCATCATTATTCTGTGGAGGAGAGTGAGGTAGGGCATGTATGTTGCTGTCAGCAATCCGTGGGAATCAAGTGCTGTGCCAGCTCACAAAAGGCTGGGCAGATATCTCCTTGTACACTGTTTTCATTCCCATCTATAGCCAACCTAAGAGATATTTTTCCCTAAATACTCCAATCAGATTCACATTTTCAGATTCCAGCAGTCTATACAGAGCAGGTTTCCATCTGATTGGTGGCTGTGGAGAAACAACGGCACCTCTCAATAGCGACACAAGACACAAATCAAGTCACGCCTAAAAAAGAGCCCCAGGTTCATCATTAATTTTCTTAGCAGCAATTATGTTTAGTGCCGTTATATTGGCATAGTTCAGAAGTGTTTTTAGGTGCTTTATTTGACTGCAGTATTCCATAAGAAGCCAAGAGATTTATTACTGCCTAACTGAATGAAAGTCCACTTTGCAGCGCAATTACTTAATCTTTAATTAGTAAATGGATATTGCTGCGTCATTTCTGGCAAGCAGTACATTGCTTTAAAGGTTCAGACCCTAGTATGCACTGAATTATTGGGAAACAGTAAATGAGCTCTGGTTGGTGCCCGAATATTTCAGGCTCTTCTCACTGTAATTTTTTCTTCTGCCTTATTAAATATTTTGCTTAAATAGCATGTGGACGTCAAAGGCTAGTGAGGCATTGTATTTATATTTATTGCTGAACAGTATGTCTTGGTGTCCCCTGAGATTAGCTTAAGATGTGAGTTCATTCATGGATGTTTGGCAATCTAAAATCATATTGAAAGACAAAGAACTGTAAAAGTATTATTAGTGATTAGCGTAAGAGGTCAGGTCTGTACCTCAGTGATCAGTAATATCCTTCAGCAGAACCTGTGGTTATCATAGTTTCTTTGTGACAGATTGATGAAGGATTTTTCCTGCAGAGGGCACCATCTGTAATTTGACACTGACTCAGCTTTCTGTAATTGTGTTACTTTAAAACGTACAGCGCTAACCGTCCTTCATAAATGGATATATGAGAAATCAAACATTGGGATCGAGGTTTGAAGCATACAATTGAAGAGTAGATGAAAATGTAACTCAAAAGTTCAATAAAAAGTGTATCTCAAAAAATCAATATCATAAATTTAAATACAATGTGAAAATTGTGTATAAAGGATAATAATCTATTAAATTTGATCAGTGATGTATAAAAATATTATATATGTACAAAATGTAAAATATAAAGTATAAAATATTTGTTAATGAACTGTGATAAATTATGAATATATGTATCAAGTGTGGGTGATTTAAGTTAATAAATGGTGGATACAACAGACAATGTGTAACCGTTTAAATAAACATCTATAAGTGTGTATGTGAATAGTCCAGATCTTTTAAAGTCTTTGAAAATCCATAAATATAAGGCACTTCCACAGTGAAGATTCAGTGCAGTAATGTGTCCAACGAAAATCCAAAAAGAACCGAAGAAAAAATGAAGAAAAAATGAGGAGAAAATCCCCTCAAGGGAATGCACTCACCAGATCAGAAGATGTTAAACCCGTTTGTTTCATCAAGGTAAGCCGTCTTTACTTCCCACGCTCAATCGGACTTCAAGGAAGGAAGGGGCTCCCGTTTCTCCGAGGTGTTTAAACGAAGTATTCTTACTTTTAGGGTCCCCCCGGTGGGATGTCCAATCAGGTAAGAAAGATAAAGCATACGCTCATAGCGTAATAAAACCCAGGTTTATTTTGATCACACAGCATATACAAGTTAAATACGCGTTTCGTCACACAGACGTTTTCAAGGGATGGCCTGCCTATTCTTACGTCATTTGATCCAGTCCAAAGGAATCACGCCTAAAGTGATCAGCCGGCTTTTAAAAAATATTTTTAGCGCTCTTTTTAACTTGTATATGCTGTGTGATCAAAATAAACCTGTGAAATCAGTGATGTATAAATATTTTTATACATCACTGATCAAATGTAATAGATTATTATGCTTTATACACAATTTTCACATTGTATTTAAATTTATGATATTGATTTTTTGAGATACACTTTTTATTGAACTTTTGAGTTACATTTTCATCTACTCTTCAATTGTATGCTTCAAACCTCGATCCCAACGTTTGATTTCTCATATATCCATTCATGAAGGACGGTTAGCGCTGTACGTTTTAAAGTAACACATCTTATTAGGGGCCGAGTGCCTTAGTCCAGCAGCTTCCCATACCCTTCTAGAACAACTGAATTATACACAATTTTTATCAATATTAATATTTAATAATTTATTATTAACAATAATATTTTAATAACAATTTATCTTAAGATTTTAAACATCTTATTATCCTCACTCTCCATTAGCGCAAGTTCTTGCAATAACTATTTCTGTAATTGTGCTTTGCAGGTTTTGTTCCGGTCTGCTCTTTGGGACTGTGTCAGATTGGTCGCATGAACCTAGGTAAAGATGCCAGCACCTTCAAATACTACACAATGTGTGGTCTGCAGGAGGGCTTCCAGCCATTTGCTGTGAACATGAACAGAGATGTTGCCATGTGGTTCAGCAAACGCTTACCTACCTTTGTCAATGTGCCAAAAGATCATCCTCACATTGAGGTAAATGTGTATATTTAAACTGTATGCAATAATTACAACCAAATAGGTCAATTGTCTGATTACTGATATTTAACTCTTTAGGTGACAAGGAAAGATGGTACTGTAGAAATCCCTCCATGCTTAAAGGTTACACATAAAACCTTTGGAACCCAGAACAGTAATGAAGACATGATATACTGCAGGCTGAGTATGCCAGTTGAGTTCCATTCTGCGTTCAACAATGAAGAACATTTCCAAAAGAGGTAAAATGCTTCGTCTGCAGAACTTTTTTATACTGTTTTCTTCATTGTGCAGTTTGTGTTTACAGTAATAAACATAAATAAAGTACCTGCCCGAAACTATAATAAATAATAAAATGTCACCATATATTTGAAGAAAATAAGACAACAACCCAAATATATGGCAAAGTGTTTTTAAATATAAGTGACTTAAAGCGACACAAAACCCCAAGCTTTTTTCTCCTTATACACATCTACACAATGAACATTCTCCAAAGCCACATTTATTTATGTTTTAAAATAAAGTCTTACTATTGTAATCCATTTAGAAAGTCTGCTGTGCTTGCTCCCCTGTCTCTTCTCTCCAGATGCACTTCCTGTCCCTTAGTAAGAGCCGTGCATGTTGTTTCTGGTCACCTGCGCATCTTTCTTTGCCTACAACTCCCATGAGGCAGAGAGGAATCATCTCTCACTGCACACAGCTGCCTCCTCCCCATTCCCCCTCCCTCTACTCACTAAACACACTGCTTGGAATCTCCACTGCAATGCTTGAAAATATCAAAACTACTTACAACAAACATCATGTTTACAACAATCTACTCAGAAAAACAACTTTATTTCAAATGTAGGAGCCGTATCCTCTGTGACTGTGTGACCAGATTCAGCATGTGAGCTGAGACTCAGTAGAAAGTATGAGGCTGGTGATAGCTCACATGATGAATCTCCTCACAAGCAGCTCACCCCACACTCCCTCCTTGATAAGCCAGGAGGAGAGAAATCAAAGCTCATATATTGGTGTGGGAGAGCTGAAGAAATCCCAGCTCCTTCCAGAGTCTAGAGGGGAGGATTTGTGGGTGGAGACTGAGAAGGCACGCCTTCAGCATGTTGTAGTCCTTCACATGAACAAGCACAGAGGGTGGCTACTTTTCAGCACACATAGGGACCATGGAGAAGTAGCAACCCTCTGGCAAGAAGTTGTGGCTTGAGAGAAATAAAATGGATTTTGGAGTATTTAGAACTGAACAATGACAAAAAAAGGTACACAGTCATTTAATATTTATATAATAGAAGTTATTCTTATTATTTAATTTTTGAGTTTAGTGTCGTTTAGTGTCGCTTTAAACAAAAACATATATGAACATATATAACAAATATGGTAATACTTCTGACCATCATTGCAATACACAAAGTGTACATAAAGTGTACAATACATAAAGGGCTTATTCAGACTATGCCTTACATTAATGCAACATGCAATCGTGTATTAGTGAAGCCCATTATTCTGAATAATCTGGAAGCACACATGAAGAGACACTAAAACACATCTGACCCGACATGTGTGGAGCGTTGCAGCGTGGGTGCGTTGGGGTAACCTTCAGAATGAATGCTACTGCAGTGGATTGCATTGCAGTTCATACATAGTGTACCTTAGGGTAACTCATTGTAAAACCCACAATTTCCTACACATTATCTGTGCATGCAAAATTGCGAATGAGCCTTTAGACTACATGTGTCAAACACGCGGCCATTTCATGTGGCCCCTTTGCAACTCTTCTGCAGCTTCAAATTTTTAACCGAAGCCGGCGCTGTAAACAGGTTTCGGGCTTCACAGGATGGCAGCCACGGTCCCCAGCAAGATCCCAGCATCCTTCCTGTGAATCGTGGTGCCTGTTTACAGCAGTGGCAGCAAATCTCCTCCTTCCTTTGGATCCAGGCCGCCTTTACCTGCCGAGACCGACTGGGACCCCTGGTGACACTGCACAGCCCTCCTGAGACACCGCACAGCCCACCATAGACCCCGTACAGCCCACCTGAGAGCCTTTATAGACCCAGCACAGCCTGTCTGAGAGTCTGCACAGCCCAGCATAGACCCCACACACCCCAGCATAGAACCTGCACAGCCACCTGAAAGTCCAATTGCCATTATTTTTCCTAGACTTTGACTTTCAGAGCTAGTTATTAAGTTATTACTAAAACCAGTAAATGCAGAGGCAATTATTTAATATGATAAAGACTGTGACTTGTTATAGCTGAGAGCGGATATACCCCTGTCTGCGTGACACCACAGTGTTTTCATCGCACCATGTCTGAATTTTACAAGTTATTCATAAAGATGTCCATAAACTATGCGAAATTCACACAGTGGGTTCCGCTGTTGGCACCCTTCAGGCCGACATCCCATGATCAGCTGATCAAAGGAGCTGGTTGAAAAAGCTTGGAACAAACAGAGTGGGCAGCCAATGAGCTGCCAGCTCCATTCAGGTATTCTGACAGTGGCCGCCATCAGAACACAATGAAGACAGTGGAAGTTTCCTCCATTATTGCTCGTAAGCATTAATGGAGGAATCTGTTATATTTTCTTCATTCATCCCACAGGTTGAAGAAAGAAAATATTATAGTTGCAGTATAGAGCCTGTGGTGTCTAACAGAGTTCTGTCTGAATAAGCCAGAAGAGAGAACGCCATGGTTCTCTCTTGTCACATGATTTTGACAGGTCACGTGGCCTGGTTGTCTTGCTTCATCTTTTTTTTTTTTCATTTTAATTTATTGGAGTCCTGAAGCAAGCGGAGCATATTGCACATTTGTAAAGCTTAGTGCCGTACTTTATAAATGTATCTGTACTTTTTAATGCCCGCAGTAAGGTCATACCACTGCTTTATAACTGGGACCCTTAGTGATAGCTTTGATCTGTGACTTTTGGCACTTTTTGCCTACAGAACATGTAGATAATGCTGAGTGTAGGTTGCAGAATTTATGAGCATAACAAGCTGGCATAATATTGTGAATGCATTGGGTCTGTTTAGACAGCATAGGGAAGGGTTAAACTGCTTTTACTTATTTTTTGCTGTCTGTGTTATGATAGTGAGATTCCCCTTAACTCCCTTTACTTCCTGCCCTGAAGATGCAAAAGAAAGTCAGAGGAAATCTGCAAAGTTTGAAAAATATCCCTCTTAGACAGTGGTCACTGGAACAGGTGTCCTTATTGAAAGATTCACCCTCATCTTTTGTTTTGGTGACAACTACATTTTTTGGATAATGCATCACTTTGTTTCATTGACAGTGGTCATTTGCAGAAATAGAGAGGGTGAATCTTGCTAGAGGAACCAATAACAATAAAAATCTGACAGGGATTCTTATTCCCTTCTGCATCCCAAATGAAAATTGTATATGCATACACAGGTATTGGGTATACTTATATCTTACTATAATATAAATGTATAACAGCAGTTTCTGTCTAGTGCTGACCTAAAGCTATACTCAAGAAAAGTGGCTTTTTAATCAAAATGACCCTGCAAAGAATGTTACAAATTCATGTAGAAGTGATGCGATGGATAGCAGCTAAGTCTCTAAACATCTCTTCTCTGTTAAAGCGACAACATAAAACTCTACATGTTTACAAGGTTTATCTGCCATTTAGGCTAGTATAAATTGACACCAAAATCAGATCAACAGTGGGAATCAAAACTAATCTATAGCACTCCAGGGATTTTAAGTGGAAACATATTTACATCTCAACTATTTATTAATTTTCTTTTATAGAAACCAACTTCATGATGCATCTTCACATACTGCCACGGTGAGATTATGTTGAGATATGTAATATCTTTAATAATTCTTGTCAAACAAAATGGAAATTAGATAAGATATTTAGTTTGTGTTTTAAAAGTGGAAGTAAGCTGTTGTGTAGACATTGGGAGTACCAGTTTCTTCTACAGAGATTACAATAGTTGCATGCTGTTTTGTATGTAATTAACATTACCGCAACAGATACATTTAGCTATGTGTTTGTTCTTTTCAGTTGTATTATTACTCCGTGCGAATATTTGCTGGTCAGGATCCCTCTTCTGTGTGGATAGGATGGGTGACTCCTGACTACCACTTCTACAGTAAAAATTTTGACTTGAGCAAGAACTGCACTGTGACTGTCACTTTAGGAGATGAAAGAGGCAGAGTGCATGAAAGGTATGGCTATGTCCTTTTCCTTTTCTTATGCACTGTGAAGTTCCACAGCAGTATGAGTTGTTGAAGTTTGCTGACTGGAGCTGTGAAAGTGTATCGCTCATCTGCTGACTGTGATGCAAACTGTGTAAATCCTTATAAAAAGAACATATAGTACAATTTGACAAGTATCCTTATTTTCTTTTTTAAGTTAAAGTTATTTTCAGCCGAGTCCAATGAGATAAAAAAATTACAGTCACATTTCTAAATAAAAGATTATTATTGTTTGTGCTAAAGCTTTGTGAATTAAGCCTATAGTACTAAAATGTGTTATTGTTCTTCTAATGGTATGATTGTATAGTTTTGATACCTAACTTGCCTCTTTACTTTTGTGCTTTTATTTTTTGTGAAACTTCTAGTGTAAAACGTAGCAATTGTTACATGGTGTGGGGAGGTGACCTCTCCACTGGCTCTCAGAGGTCAGGCCGCAGCAATGTAGATATAGACATTGGGTGCCTTGTTGACCTGGCCACAGGACTGCTTTCCTTCACAGCTAATGGAAAAGACCTAGGAACCTGCTACCAGGTATATTTATACATATGTTACATATAGATTTCTTACAAATAATGTATTTTTTGTATGTGAGTAAAGGGTACATGGAGGTGTTGACTTGCACATAAAGTTAGTTGATCAATAAATATAGTTTTAAATGATTTTCAAGCTCTTTGTACATATAAAAAACAAAAAAACATTTAGAAATGTTGTATGTGATAATGCTATTCACTCATGCCAGATTTGGAGAACCAGTTTTTTAATTTACTTTGTAGTCCAGACTGCCATATGTACAATTAAAATGCCATTTGTTTAACCTCTTGCCGTCCGCCCGTAGTAGAAAAACGGACGGACGGCACTGCAGCATCTGCGGGTTGCCGTCTCCAGACGGCAATTTTTTTCTGCTCACGCGCGCCCCCTAGCGGGCACGCACGGGCAGAAAAGACCCGTCCAATGCGAACACCCGGTACCGGGTGTTTCACATATAGGCGATCAGCGGGTCCATAGCCCGCCGATCGCCTATATGTGCTCGTTCGCGGCACATATGCAGTAACATATGTGTTACATCACTTCCGCATTCACCTGTCAGTCATCTGGCTGCTATTGCCAGAGAGAAGAAGCTGACAAAGCAGATCTCTGCTTCATCAGCTTCTTTTGGGGTCCATAGGTGATATTAGGGGTCCTAGAGACCCCTAATATCTCCATAAAGAGGACCTGTCAGTGTGCCTTTGCTATTATATAGGGGGTTGTTATCCCCCTATATAATAGCAATAACAATAAGTGCAAAAAAAAAAATATAAATAAAAAAAAAGAAAAGTAACACATAAAAAAATAAAATAAAATAAAAGCCACATATAAAAAAAGGGGAAAAAACCCCCCCAAAATGTTTAACTCCCCCACCCCCACGTTTACGCGCCTATAAACGTAAATACGCGTCCGGTGCCCCAGCGCGCAAAAATTACAATTGCGCTACACATGTTACATATCGCCGCGAACGTCGCAGTGAGAGCAATCATTTTAGGGCCATCAATCACTGATAACACTAAACTGATGAGCGGTAACAGCTTTTAAAGCGTCGCCTATGGCCAATTTTGGGTATTATCGTTTTTTGAGGTTTCGCGCGCGCACGCAATTTTAAGGCTTGACATGTTTAGTGTCTTTTTACCCGACGTGACCCCATCTTTTATATTTTACCAAAAAATTGGGTAATAATAAATGTTTTATCATTTAATATAGGGGAAACTGTTTTTTTTTTTTACATTTCGGTAATTTTTCCTTAATATAGTAAAAAAATAAAACCCCCAGTGGTGAATAAATACCACCAAAAGAAAGCTCTATCTGTCCCCAAAAAAGGGTATAAAATTCATTTCAGTACAGCGCTGCATGACGGAATAAATGTCAGTTAAAGTACCGCAGCGCTGAATACTGAAAAATGGCCTGGATGGGAAGGGGGTTTAACACCGCGGATGTCAACTGGTTAAAGCACATCCATTTATTATTCTCCGAGAAATTATCAGTTTGGAATATATGTAAGTTATTATGTTTATACTTTTATGTAAACATAATGTTGACAGTACAGTCTCATACTATAGGTATTCTAGTGTTAAGCTTAGATACTTTGAGGCGTTTTGCTATGCTTGAATACCACTTTAGAGGGAATTGCTAGATGAAGAAATCCTATTTGTTTACCAATAAACCCATTTTTCACTTGTCAGGTTGAACCAAATACCAAGCTGTTTCCAGCAGTTTTTCTGCAGCCAACTAGCACTAATCTCTTTCAGTTTGAACTTGGAAAATTAAAGGTACAGTATATTTTTGATTTTGCTTTTATTTCATAATATTACTGGAGATAAACGTTTGAATTGTGTAAACAAGATTGAAGGAGAACTATGAGGTGAGTGCTTTTCACTCACCTCATAGTTCTAGCCGACCTGTGACAATGAGACTGTCACAGATCGGCTCAGTAGATCGGGAGGTGAGCGTCTCAGTATACCGCGAGCTGTAGCTTGCAGTATACTGAGCTTAGGGTGACGGGAGGATGCTAGTTTGTGTCCTCCCGTTACCCTAAGGAGAACTATGGGGAAAAGCCTTAACCCCATAGTTCTCCTTTAACATACAATGTTAGGCTCCGACAGTGTAAATTTATGCTTATTGTAAAAAGTAACAAATGTGTACTTTATATGAGTACTCACCTTATGTTGCTAATCGATTGTTTACCAACAATCACTTTGTATAGTGGTCTGTTTTTGTTATGCTGAGCAGAATAACGGACTAATGAATTTCCTGAGTTTGTATTAATGACATTTATGTTCTGTGGTTATTTCTGGGTCAAACAGAACACCATGCCACTATCAGCTGCAATATTTAAGAGTGAAGAAAAGAATCCTGTTCCACAGTGTCCACCTCGTTTGGATGTGCAATCTATAACCCCAGTACTATGGAGTCGCATGCCAAATATTTTCTTAAAAGTGGAAACAGAACGTGTGAGCGAGCGGCATGGCTGGGTGGTGCAATGCCTAGAACCCCTGCAGATGTTGGCCTTGCATATACCTGAGGAGAATCGGTATGTCCCTGTTATATTTTCTATATTGTTTATTAAAAAACAGAGTGACAAAGTGTAATATAAGACTCAGACAATCTAGTGATATAAGGGCAATGTTGTACGGTATATAATATTGTATACTGTACAGCAGTAGACCCCAACCGATTGCTGATGAGCCACATGTAGCTATTTGCTCTTTTTCATGTTGCTTATGACAGGCTCTTTGTGTGTGCTCAGTCTGCTTGAATACCTGGGAGAAAACAAAAGAGAAGGGCGCCCACTCTAGTGTAGATAGCGGGAGACTCCCAGAGCGCCCGGGAGAGTTTAAAAAAAAAACATTTTGACGGCAGCAGAACCGCCGGCTAATAGAAAACTATTGGGTGGAGCTAGCTGTCATTGGTAGCTCCGCACAATCGTTTTCTATTTATTTTTTTGACTTTTTAAACTATTTTTCTGTTCTGCTCGGTCCCTCTGAGGGACCGAGCAGAACAGCCGAGCCGAATACCACTCAGCGGCATTTGGCTATTCACTCTATAAGAATAGACCGAACAGCAGCGAGTAGCCTGCCGGAAGTTCGGCTTAGGCGATACAGATGTTGGATCGGCTGAGTCAAACTCCTCCTGCACTTCGGGTCGGCCGAACATGCTGAGCATGTTCGGCCGACCTGAAGCCACGTGAAGCCACCGGATGCACGGCTGATTTCAGGCGATATATGGCTGAAATCAGCCGTACCAGCCTGAAGTGAATAGCCGAACAGCTGCCTAGGGCAGCTTAGGGAATAGACCCCATGGTCTTATTTTCAAGGTAGGTCCTATATTTTAGCAATTCCCATAAATAGTACTAGGTCTTATTTTCTGGTAAACACGGTACATCCTCTTTGACTTGTATGAGAAGAGAACCAGTTATGGCACAAACACATTCCTGTGAGCACAATACCTAATACTATCCTTCTGATCAAATCACTGCTGAATAATGAAGAAAACCCTAAAATTATTAATTATTATGGGGATACTTGAGGACTGGGGTTCTGAAAATTGGTTTAGGGTATATGTAAATATTTTTATTTCAGTTATAAAGACTAAGAGGGGAATTTATCAAAACTGGAGCAGACAGATTCTGGAGCAGTTGTCCATGGCAACCAATCAGCTTCTCTCTTTCATGTTCAAAGCTTAACTGAACAAATTGAAGAGAGAAGCTGATTGGTTACTATGGCAACTGCTCCAGATTCTGTCTGCTCCAGTTTTGATAAATTCTCCCTAAGTGCTATATTTATAAAGCAGTGAATGTTACATCAACCAAATATTCACTTCATTTGAATCAATTACTGTAATTTAAAACACCAGCACCGGGAAGATAAACCTGCAGTGATGTTTGTTAACTGTCACATTCACTGCTTTATAAATATACCCCTGAAAGAAAACTCTTGCTTGGTGGTTATCATAATTGGAGCATACAGAGTCGGGAGCACTTGCCCATAGTAAGTAATCAGCTTCTTTGTTTAGTTAAGCTTTGAATATGAAACAGAGAATCTAATTGGTTGCCATGTACAACTGCTCCAGATTATGTCTGCTCCACTAGTGATAAATTCCCCTCTTTGTATGTAACTGCAGTTTCAGTTATACCTTTATCATTCTTTAACGGATTGTTGTAAAACACAATGAGGGGAATTTATCAAAACGGGAGCAGACAAAATGTGGAGCAGCTGTGTGCGGCAACCAATCAGCTTCTCTCTTTCAAATCTTAACTGAACAAGCTGAAGAGAGAAGCTGATTGGTTGCCATGGCGACTGCTCCAGATTCTGCCTGCTCCAGTCTTCATAAATTTCCCTCTGTGTGCATTATCTCTTCATTCCGCTTTGTTTCCTTTTTCTATAGATGCTATTTCGCTGGTCATTGGACAAAAAACTATACTGAACAAATGTAAAGATTTCCATTTGCAAAAAATGAATGTTTTATTTTATACATATATTATTTTTCTCTTTTTTCAGGTGTATTGACATCCTGGAACTCTCTGAGCAAGAAGATCTCATGAAATTTCATTACCACACTCTTAAATTATACTGCGCTGTATGTGCACTGGGTAACAACCGTGTTGCACATGCCTTGTGCAGTCACGTTGATCAGTCCCAGCTACTGTATACGATTGATAACCAGTACCTTCCTGGCCTCCTGCGTTCTGGTTTCTACAACCTTCTTATCAGCATTTACCTGGAGTCTGCCAAGGAGGGCAAGCTGATGATGAACAATGAGTTTATCATACCCATCACTGATGAGACTCGGCAAATTCAACTGTTCCCTGATGAGTCAAAGAGGCATGGCTTGCCCGGGGTTGGTCGTAGTACCTGTCTGAAGTCTGACCTTTATTTTACAGCACCTTGCTTTGTGCTGACTGGAGAGGAGAGGCAACAGCATGGCCCAGAGATTCCAGTGGATATTCTTAAGTCCAAAGCTATTGGCATGCTTACAGAGGCCGTGCAAAGCAGTGGGGATCACATCAGAGACCCTGTTGGAGGAAAAGTAGAGTTCCAGTTTGTGCCAGTACTCAAGCTTATTGCCACTCTTCTTATTATGGGAGTGTTTGAGGATGAGGATGTGCGTCAGATTCTACTGCTCATTGACCCAAATGTTTTTGGCGACCACAAAGAAGAGGAAATAGAAGAGAATGGGGAGAAAGAAGACATTGCTCAGGATGAAGAGAAAGCTGTAGAGGCTGGTGAGAAAGCAACTAGAGACGACAAGGCTCCTGCCAAGGGCTTACTGCAGACTCGCCTTCCAGAGTCTGTCAAACTCCAGGTACTTTTTTGAAGCAAATAGTTGATTTAGGACAGCAATTTACAGTTTAGTTCTTTAATGGATCCACGATCGTATTTGATCATTTATGTCTTAGCATCAGAAGCACAATCACAGCAGGTGATTATCAAGTTACATGTTCAGCAAACTTGAGCAGAATCTTTTGAAGTAGAACTAAAGCCATTTTTTTTTATTCTGGATGGAGTGGAGAAGGATTACAACACCTCCTTGGTTATCACCAAGAGTGAAAGAAAATCCCACATTTTGAGTTGTCACCAGAACAGTAATAGAGGGGAACTCATCCAATGGGGATACTACTTCTGGTGACAACCAGGGATTTCCCCCCATTGGAGAGATTTTTGACTGTTCCTGTTGTGGCTATGGGACAGGAAGTGAAGGGAAATCTTTCCAATGCGACACATAGGGCAAAAAAAAAACACTGACTGGGATACTCTTCCTAAAGTGAAAAAAAAAAGTTTTGGCTTTAGTTCAACTTAAAGGTTTTCTTGATAAAACTTTTCAGTCTAGAATTACATAGTTAAACCAACAACAATTATTAGTATGGTTTGATAACTCTCCAAACATAACATGTGATCACGCTGTGCTAGGTTTATGTGTTTACTAGTAACATTTTTTTTTAGATGTGCGAACTTCTTCATTACTTCTGTGACTGTGAGCTGAAACATCGTGTGGAATCCAATGTTGCCTTCTCTGACAAATTTGTTTCTAAGCTGCAATACAACCAGAAGTTCCGATACAATGAACTTATGCTGGCACTGAACATGTCAGCTGCTCTAACTGCCAAAAAGACGAGGGAGTTCCGCTCTCCTCCACAGGAACAGGTAATATTATGGATACAGAATATACTAGCCACATTAAACGCAAAAGAAGCCATGTGCATGTTTCAAAGAACATCATAAGGGACTGTATTAGTTTTACTGAAAGTCATAATTAAATTATTTGTTACATTATTAGTTACTGTCTATTGCAAATGGTTATCTCTGGTAAAAATATTAATTCACTGAAAGTACTGAACTGCAAAATTATGCACAGAAACCTAGCCTTAAAAAGCTGTAGAACAGCTTAGGACCTCAATAACCTTAAAGTGTATCTTTAGTCAAAACTTTTTTTTAGCTTTGGATAGATTAGAACCCTTGTCAATATGTTATTGCTGTCTGTGTCCCTACAAGATAGATTCACCCTTTCTATTTTCCCTAGACTGACAATTGTCACTGAGACTGAAAGTGGTCAGAAATACAAAATTTTACAGTTGTCACTTGAGGAAGATGTGAGAAGAAATCTTCCTATAGGAACCTTTTCTGGTAACATCTGTATAAAAAGGGAATTTGTCCCATTTTGTAGAGATTTCCTCTCACTTCCTGTTAAGTCCCCAGGACAGGAAGTGAATTGAAATCCCCCAAATGGGACACAGACAGCAAAAAATAAACTGAACAGTTTTGACTCTTACCTACTCAATCCAAAACTAAAATAAATGTTTTGGCCGTATGTACACTTTACATTCTAAAACTAGCTCTGGGAACTACAAAGAAGGTGTATTATAGCCACAAAAAAACAAGTTTATTTGGCATATGTGTTATTTCAATCAAACCTAAGCTCAATACCAACTACGGTATCTTTTTTTCTTGTTTAAATAAAAGATTAACATGCTTCTGAATTTCCAAATGCAAGAAGACAGCCCTTGCCCAGAGGAAATACGGGGTGAGCTATATGAGTACCATGAAGATCTTCTCATGCACTGTGGTAAGTATTATCTCCAGCCATGATTTTGACTAGCATAGGGAAAGGTCATAACTTTTTGTGTTTTTAATACTGTATTTGTCACTGATGGGGAGATTTTCCACCATGTTCTGTGAGTAAATTAAATCTACAGGGACACGGACATCACAAAAACTTGACAGAGATGATAACCCTTTTCTGATCGCTAATATTATTGCTTGTATTGCTGTTTTAGTCCTCCTGGATATATACTCCTTACATTCTGTTCTGGTGACACAACATGGTGTGAAAGGAAATCTTCCTCGATGCTATCTTGCTCAATTGCCATCTACCTAGATAGCAATACAAACCTGAGAGGTTGTTATCCTCTGCAATTCTATCCAAAACTAAAAGGAAATGTTTTAGCTGGAAGATTACTTTAATGTGTGTAAATGATAGTTTGTGTTAAAGTATGTTCTTTAGCATAAGTTTAAAAAAAACTAAATCTGCTTTATGGGCAGTTTATTCCAATGGACCTTGGTGCCCAAACTATACTACTTAACTTACAATAAATCTGACGTAATTATTCTATGGAACTGTTGTCTTTCCAGTCCAGAGAATAAACATAAATCTGTGCCGTGAGCGGTTTGATTTTCCCAACCCCAACCCATCCCCCATCCATAATCATAATCTTATAATACAGTATTCCTCACAGGAATCAATATCGACATGCAAGAAATTGGAGATAAATGAATATCACAGTCTTCAAGGAATATTGATTTCTATAAGATTAAGTAACAATTCTGTTTACATCTAAACTGGTAACAAAGTAATTTCACAAAACGAACACCTACCATTGGTCAGTGCATCCCTAACTATTGAAAAAAAAAAATGGAACCACTGCTCTTATGGCGTTGCACAGGTCTAAATCAGCAACAAAGAAAGAGTGTGTTCAATAGGGGCTTTTGTTCTGCTGCTTCATGTGTCAATCATGATGGCATAGTAGGGGAGTGGGGGTGGCGGTGAAGTCACCATATGTGTCCTACTGAGGTAAAATTGTTGATAGTTTATAGTTAGAGAAAAACTGTTTGGAGTCCTTTTTTTAATTCTGGTGTGTATTTGTATTTTTTTTTTACAAGATCAGTTAATATAGATAAAGGACATTATTATCCCATTTCAGACATGGATTTTTTTTAGGGTGTTTCTATCGGTATAAATCTAAGCTTAATAGGCTTTTTATCGTATTCTAACAAAAAAACAAGCAATTGTTCCTTATTATTAGTAAAAACGATTTCTTCTGCCTTAGATGACATTAACCCAGGAGTGAGGGATGACCTGTTTACTGTTTTATCCAGTTACTTTGCAGACTATTGTTCTATGTTATAGGTATTCCTCTTGAGGAAGAAAAAGAGGAGGAGGAAGATAAATCATGGACAGGTCGTCTTCGATCACTAGTATACAAGATCAAGGGCCGGCCAAGGGCAGAAGAGCAAGATCCTGCAGAGGAGGAGGAGAAGTCTCCTAGTAAGTAGCTTGTATAAAGCTCTTGTGTAGGTACAGATAACAATCGCTATAGACATACGTGTTACATATGGAGACAGCAAACATGGATAAAGTAGTGCTGGTGAAAGGCTACATTCTTTTTAGAATGGGTCAATAGAAAGACGGAGGTGTTTATTGTGATTTAAGCCCCCTAATATAACATGTCCTAGCAGTTAGAAAAATTGGCAATGCGTAGCTGGAATATGTGGGTTTGAAAGACATCGGACACTTACGGTTAATCCATTACAATCTCTATTAATATCTGAAGGTAAACTAACATAAACATTATAGTAGCTTATTAGGGTAACAGTAAGCCTTCCCAAACAAGCCCTTTCACGGATCGTGATTAGGAGTCAGCTTCCAGTACTAATTTTAAGATCATCTTGGGGCATCAGATTTCAGTACCGCAAGTGTGAAAAAATAACCACTTGTTTATAGCTGTGGTGGGGATGATACCACCTGTTGGTACCCCCTGAAGACTTTGCAGGAGGAGATGACTTGAATGCCTTGTGCTCCATATATGTGTATATACATATATATATATATATATATAGTTAGCTTCATATTTGAAATGCTCACAAATATTTATTTCACTTTAGGGTGTGAGCTGACCTAAGCAAATTGCTATTGGCTATTAGCACTGAAGAGGTCTCTGTAGGTGGCTATAAATCTTTGCTAACACAGATGCCAACTTTCCAGTATGATAAGCATGTGGATAACTTATCTTCTGTCCATCTCCCCACACTTCCCACCCAGACAGCTTTCTCTGAACTTTTCACTTGCTTTGCTCCTCACCTCCTCATGTTACAGTAATATTATTAGCCCCTTAAACTGGCCGCTGATCGGGCTGACAGAATAGATTGGCGCCAGTTACAAAAGTTTATACAAGGAGTTTGCTGATATTTCAAGGGAATTTATTTGCTAGTTATACTTTTTTTATTAAGGACCCGTTCACACCAGATCCACTGGGCTGTGCTGGGCATCCTTACCTAGCACAGTCCCAGCGCATAGACAAGGCAATTTACCTTCTCTGCTATTAAGTCAGTTCAAACCACCATGACACAAAAGTCCTACATGCAACAGGCTGCGTGGTAGTGTGCACTGCTGGTGTGAACAGACCCTACATATCCAATTGGAATTTTAAAAAAACCTGAAGTTCAATACATGCCAACCCAAAATTGCTGACTCAGTACTATTGTGAGGCCCAAATTTAGAAAGCAAATTACTTATTTTAATTTTTATAGGGTTATTCACAAAAGGGTGAAGAGTTTGGAGAATGCAGGAGAAGTGAACAATCTAGGACAACATAGCTGAACTAGAAAGTGGGCCAAATTAGAAAATGTTTCCAAATCAGCTATTTTGGCCTAGTTTGTTCACTTCTCCTGCCTTCTCCAAACTCTTCACCCTTTAGTGAATAACCCTGCTAAACTAGTATTAGACCAGCCTTTTTTAAAAGTTCTAAAAATGTCAGATGGTCAGTGTGACCTCGTGTCAGCCTTTGTTTTCTTTTGTATAGGTTACTTTAATACATAATCTCCTTTTGCTCTCGGTTCCCTTATTTTCTAACATTTATATGTGCATCACAGCAGCCCAGTCTGTATTTGGCAACTTGCAGCTTTTATTATTAGAAGGATAGAACACCCACATACATCACTTGACCTGTACTATTTTTCTTGTCACTAAACAGGAGGAATGCTGACTCTTGTGTGAGCAAAGTTGCAGCCATTTCTAATTTAAAGCTAACCCAAAGCCCTCATTCACACGAGAAATGGCCGGCGTGTACAGATCCTTGCTGCGTGCATGGCCATATCGGGCCATGCCTGTCCTTCTCTATGGGAGCCTGTCCTTCTCTATGGGAGTATGCGGCCGTAAGCCACCTTATGCTCACCCGAACTGCACATCCGTACGGGTGCGGGTGTCCCTGCTCAGACGCAGACAGGATCCAACCTCTCAGCGTACGAGTACAAACACCTGCACCGGCAGTTCTGGTGAGCATAGGGTGGCGTACGGCCGCATACTCCCATAGAGAAGGACAGGCTGCTGCGTGTAATCACACACAGCAACTGTCCTTCCCAGGAGCGGCCCGATAATAGTGCACGCAGCACGGATCTGTACGGGCCGGCCGTTTCTCGTGTGAATGAGGGCTAAAGCTAACATTTTACTTAGACTTTCACTGGATAAACTAATTGGCATACTGAATGTCATTATGTTATAATGTTTTTATGCTCCCATCCTTTATAATTAGGGATGCACCTACACCGATACTAGTATGAGTATCGGTGGTGATAGGGAGTATTCGGGCGAGTACTCATACTCGCCCAAATGCTCCCAACACTTATCCGGATACCGGAACTGAGCTCAGTGATGTGCGAACTTGGTACTCTATTGACTGTGGTACGGATCAGGCAACGCCCCCAGAATTCCTATTTACTGGACCATTGTTTTAATTATTATATTATAATTAATCAGGCTCACTGATTGATTACCAATTTTAAACTCAAAATCACTAGTATAGTTTAAATGGCATTTCCAAACTTGGATAGATTAAAATATAGAAAATCAATAAGGTTCACACATATATATTTCAATATCATGGTTTTAACAGCCAGAAAGCCAGCTCCATGTTTCCTCTCCACTTAGTGACGAGGGATCATGGAGATGGCTTCCCGGCTAATCAGGAAAATGGGCGGCGAGTCATTACACGCCTCCTGCCTTCCTTAATAGAACTTCTGGTATTGGTATTTGGTATCCGTGAGTACCGAAAAAAATATCGGTGCATGCCTAGTTATAGTAGACTGTGTCACTGTGGCTGCTGGTTGGTGAATTATGGTAAAATGAACACACAGCCTGATTTTATCCCAGTTATTTTATTTCTAAAGTACAATATCACTGGCCATGATTTCCGATTAGTTCTCCGAACATAATGTAATTTCTAAAAAGAACAACAGCTCTTTTTATTTGTATGCCTCTAACAGGTACATTTGGAACAGCTGAACATATTAGGACCTGTATGTAGCCACTGTACAATGCTCTTATGAGAATTGCAGTCAGTCAGAATGATGTATTGGTAGCATACTTTTTTTAAATATTAGGATGTAGACTATTTAATACCAGTGTTAGGCATTTTACAGCTTATGACAAAACACTCAGCTGTGAAGAGGAACCATTGAAACAAATGGAATTTTTTTGTGTTGAGACTTTTGTGAATGGGGGCTAACAGTTTTAACAGATAATATAGTGTGACAAAATAGAAGTATATAAAGAGATCACCACTGAGGCTAAGCACACATGACCTGGTATTTGAGGTGTTTATTGAGGGTGCTTTGTAGTTCTGTAGATGTCTTTAAAAATTTTAAACATTCCTACAGTAATGTGAAACCAGGTACTATTGCACCAGAAAATACCTGGTAATCCGGATTTCCACCTTGTAATCCGACGCCTGCAGAGAATCGACTAGCCAATTACACAATTACAAGGCTAACGAGCCCCAGTGTTCCACATCAGCACACAGCAAGTATAGAACTACAAGTTCCAAAAGCAACAAATAGAAGATAAAGAACTAAAAACCCAGTATACCAATAGCAACACACATCAATGTCCATTATACTGTATGAGGCACTTGTGAGATCAGATGCCATGCTATATATATGCTGTATACAGGCTGAGAGAAGCATCATCTCCAAACCCCCCTGTGTGGGCATAGTAAATTCCTTGAATAGCCATGCAGATCAGCTGACTGATTCACTTACTGCATAGATTTCATGTAACATATTTTATATGACAGTTGTTAACTTTAAAAACTGCAGCATTCACAACATGAACTGGGCCCCTGCCCATTAGTATATTAAAAAGTTCAAAGTTGGAAAGGTGCTATAGCTAGAAGTTCCCTTATGGCAGAGCTGCAGCTGATCACAGCAAAGTGCAGGATGCTTTTCCATGTGTCCCCTACACTTACTCATGTGCTCGGTTCTGTCACATAACCAACCATAAGGGGGTCATAGGGAAGTGGCCCAATGCCAGTCATTGTTGCGTCTGTAACACAGGTTGTAACAAGAGGACAGGGTTCAAGCTTGATACAGACATTATGTAAACTTAAATGTACCAATTTGATCTGCAGTAGTTAAGGTGACCACAGATGTATTTGAAACATTTGGCGGTAAACAATCAGACCTTTGGCAGGCTTCAATTTACATGGCAGCATAGCCACTATTCAATGCATGCCAGGTAAATACTGTGGGGGGAATTTATCAAAGCTATTGCGAGTGTTTGAACTTGCATGGAAAATATTTCCACCAGATTTATCAAGCTAGTGTAATGATGTTGATAAATGAGGTTTAACAAGTGCAGATGAAAACACGTGCAAAAAAGGTGCAAAAAACATGGGGGGAATGTATCAAAGCAATTGCGAGTGTGTAAACTTGCACAGAATATATTTGCACCAGACTTATCAAGCTAGTGTAATGTTGTTGATAAATGAGGTTTAATAGACTCCAGGAAAGAAGACTTCTAACTCAGGCAAAAAGCTTAACTGTCACATCTTGAAGAAGTGGTCATGGGGACTTCATAAGTTGTGAGTGTTTTCTTAGGTGATGCTCCAGTTTCAGACAGCCCCCGAACAGGTGCAGATGAAGACACGTGCAAAAAACATGCAGTTGGAAAAGTAGTGCAAGCTCTGAAGAAAACAGGGGCACATGTTAAAAGACAGATTTGCACATAGCATGTTTTATCTAAGAGGCTAAAACTGTCGCAAGTGCTTTGATAAATTCCCCCCTATGTGTTCATTTTGTGGCTTGAACTATTTTTTCCTCTACATTACAAAGTCATTGAGTGTAATAATGACATCTAGTGGCCAACAGTATAAACTACATTTTATTTCATGCAGTTTTAGGGCTTGTAATACTTGTTCTACACTGTGGTATTTATGCATCTAGGAAGTTAAATATACACTACCGGTCATAAGTTTTAGAACACCAGCATTTTTC